CAATTCAGTTCGTTGTGAAAATAAATGTAAATTTGTTAAATATCGAGAGAAAAAAATCATCATAAATAATCAAAAATAAATTTACATTATGAATCTTAGTCTCTATGAACCCAATGACAAAATAAACCTTTGAAATAAACGTTGGCAAGGCAATAAACTACAATTGTTACCAGAAGTTGATGAATATTTTAGTGGGCTGAGTCATAACACAAACATTAACCAGCAAGAGAGTACATTTTTGATAGGTGAAACTGAAGAACTTTTCTATTTCCAGGTTTCTGAACAAGACAAGAAAAAATACTTTGTTGATGGGAAAGAGGAAACCAAATCAAATTGGATGAGATTCATAAACTGTGCCAGAAATGAAAGTGAACAAAACTTAGTTGCATTCCAGTACCATGGTGAAATATATTACAGAAGTTTTAAAGCTATTTCCAAAGGATGTGAATTGTTGGTCTATTATGGAGAACAATATGCCAAAGAATTAGGAATCCAAATTAAATTTGATGAAATGAAAATGACAGAAGGTAGGTGTATTTTAATTTTAATTATTTCACTGAATACACTTGTACAGAGTGATAGTAAAAAGCAAAAGGTACAAAATCTTGAAAGTTTTGCCTGGTACTGCCATTTGGCCCAAATCACACAACAATCTTGAAAAAAAAAACTATGGGCCTGGTAATCAACAAATAGAATGTTTTGGTTAATTTTAATACAAAAAACAACAGTTCAAAAATTAAATCATTATTGCCACTGGGGGCTGTTTTAATATTCGTCAGTATTCAGGTGATGTTGTATTGTGCATTTATATGGAATATGTCAAACAAGCTTTTATTTGTTAGAACTGCAAGGTTACGTAGGCTATCCAGTATTTGAAATACAAACTTAAAAGAATTTTAATTGGAAGTGCCTTACTTTGAGTAAATGTGCATATCTAAAAATGTGCCTTCAACTTTTAAACACTTCCCATATCACATTAGTGAAGTTCACTTACCCAAGTTAAAATGAAAACAAAACTAAATTAATCATAACTTCAAAATTTATTTTTTTATAACTCATTTATTTGCAGATGGTGAGTCCTATATTTGTACCAAGTGTGAGAGAATATTTACAGATCCAAACTATTTGACAAAACATTTGAAATATCAACATAGAAACTACGAGTCTGTTAGGAAATATAAATGTGATCAGTGTAAATACTCTACAGATATAAAAGGTAGCATGGAATATCACAAGAGAACTCACACCAATGAAAGACCATATAAATGTGATGTATGTGGTAAAGCATTCACACAGTCAAGTAACCTGAAGAGACATCATAAAATCCATACTGGTGAAAAACCTTACAAATGTACTCAATGTGGAAAAGCATTCAACATAGCATGTAACCTGGACTACCATATGAGAACACACACTAAGGAAAGACCCTATAAATGTCATGTATGTGGACAAGGATTCAGTCAGTCAGGTCACCTACAAGTACACCTTCGTACTCACACTGGTGAGAAACCCTATAAATGTGAATATTGTGATAAAAGATTCACTGAGTCAAGTCACCTACAAGTACACCTTCGTATTCACACTGGTGAGAAACCCTATAAATGTAAATATTGTGATAAAAGATTCAGTGTGTCAAGTCACCTACAAGTACACCTTCGTATTCACACTGGTGAGAAACCTTATAAATGTGAATATTGTGATAAAAGATTCACTGAGTCAAGTCACCTACAAGTACACCTTCGTATTCACACTGGTGAGAAACCTTATAAATGTGAATATTGTGATAAAAGATTCACTGAGTCAAGTCACCTACAAGTACACCTTCGTATTCACACTGGTGAGAAACCCTATAAATGTGAATATTGTGATAAAAGATTCACTGAGTCAGGTAACCTACAAGTACACCTTCGTATTCACACTGGTGAGAAACCCTATAAATGTGAATATTGTGATAAAAGATTCAGTAGGTCAAGTGAAGCCAAAGTTCATGTCATTCTTAACCACACACATGAATATCCACACAGATGTCAGATTTGTAAACATGGATTTATTACACCAGCTCAACTGAAACAACACATGATTAAACACACTGAAGAGTAACAACAATCACAAATATATAGCTTTATAATGCTTTTCATCAGTTAACAAAATTGTTTTGATGAAATTCACAAGCAAATTTGAAAATTGTTTACTTGATGTTGTAGTCTGCACAAATTGATATGCAAATGGTTATCATGATTGGAGCCCTAAGGAACTCTTACAAAATAGTCTTGTACATTTTGTTGGAAGATGACCTGACATTTGATGTATATAAATGCAGCTAAAAGCTGATATTTTACAAACACAAATAATATTATCTATGAATTTTTTACTCATAACTGCAGGAATATATAAATTAGGTTGATTATTAAAAAAAAAAGAACAAAAACCTTGTAAATAGTATGTGCTGATACATCCAAAACACACAGTCATGTATTTTTATAACCACAATCGAATATGTGTAATATAACAAATTTAATAATTTTCTGTAATTTTTGAAATAAAAATGCTTTTTTAAATAATAATATTTGCAACTTCGTTCTTGACTCGCGAAAATGTGTCCCGTGGCCTGTTTGACTTGGCCTCAACTTCACAATGTGTAATACCTACATAGTTGGCCTCCCTAACCCACCAAAATTAATTACAATAAAAAATACCAGTCGATTGGTTTATTAATGCCTTTACATAAATAATATAAATCATCTCCAATAAAGAATTATTATAATATTAAGGCCAAACGTATTGTGACAAACAGTTCGCTACCCTGCAGGCTGATGTTAAATCAAATACACTAGTGTCTTTGGTTAAATTAAACCAGTCGACTAAAGGTGCCAGCAACACCCAAACACAGAAAAACAAAGATGGCGTCGTCGAAAAAGAAATTTGACATGGAAAAGTTAAACAAGGCACTGTGTCGATTTGCTGACGAGATCGTCACTCCGAATGAGAAGAAGGCAAAGAAAGCGCAACAGTTTATCATTAATCGGGTTGTGAATCCAATACTAGAAGAGGTGTACAACCAAGATGATCGCTTCCACTGTGAAAAAGTTAAACCCAACGGTTGCTATGTTGGCTTGATGAAGACAGGTGGATGGAACTTCGATTTGCTGGTCAACTTGGACAATCTTTTGTCCCCCAAAATTCCCCCCGATTGTAGGGATCACGCATCCGCTGTGTTCATCGACAGTAATCGGTGCGAGAACCCATACCTATCCGGTGTTTCTGGATTTGGATATGTTGCAACTGACCCTAACTTGACCTTTGTCCACGGTTTGTTGAGTCCCGACAATGTGGCGGTAGATTCGACCCAATACTTTCCATGTGAAAGGTACTTGTCACCTCAAAAAGTGCTGAAGAAATTCTGCCAGTTAGTTGAACAAGCAGTTGATAAATTGGATGAAGAATGTTTGTGGGAGCGAATACCAACGGTGTATGAAGTGAGTGTAGATATATTTGGTGAGTTATTACAGATTACAGTTGCGTAATAAACTATTATTATTATTATTATACAAACCCCTTGCCATGCTTCAGTTTTGACATCCAATATTGACATCCAAAACTAATACTGGTAATGTTTGATTTAGAGACAGTTTAAAGGTGGTTGAATCGCTTGAAGAAAAATTATGCATACTAGAGTTTTGTTTCGATTTGTTGAATTATTAAAGTGATTCTTTAATAGGTGGCTATTTGAAACGGAAAAAAATAACACGGAAATAATTATAATACAGAATGACTCAAATGTGTGAGTGGTTTATTTCTTGTCAATTAGAACATGGAAGGTACTAATGAAAGGAGCCATGACGCTATTGTTTTAGCTTTACCCTATGATCGTTTGTCAATTTTTATTCACAAACATTGGTTCTTGTTAGCTCTTAGCACATTCTTACAATGGGTTACGCTAATCTTGAGCATTCGGTAATATTCAGAGCATGTTCGGAAGCAATAGACGAACCTCGCATGTGCAATACTGAAAATGGTGTCTAGTTTGAATGCTGTTGTTTTCGGAGATCTTGGCGAACTTTAATGAAAAGTTGGCAGATATAACATCGATTGAAGAAGAACTGATGAACTATCGTAAATCTTTTTGTATTTGTAATGGTGATGAGACTTAATAATAACGATTGCATTATTCAATGGTACTATTGTCAGTGCATGGGTTTGGCACCCAAAACTGTCGAAATTTTCAACCACCAGACATCGGCGAACACCACCAGAAAAGATACCGGGTAGTATCGAAGTGACACAGTCACTAGTATATCAAGTGTGTGTCATTAATGTTCGTCAATGCACGCATTTAGCTGAACAATTACAAAAGTTATGTTATCATTTTAAAGCAATGTGAGTGATGTCATAATTATTTATGCAATGTGAGAGATGTCATCATTCTTGTTGCAATGTGGGTGATGTCATCATTATTTATGCAATATAATTTGTCATTCTTGTTGCAATGTGAGTGATGTCATCATTATTTATGCAATGTGAGTGATGTCATCATTCTTGCTGCAATGTGGGTGATGTCATTATTTATGCAATATAATTTATGTCATTATTGTTGCAATGTGAGTGATGTCATCATTATTGATGCAATGTGAGTGATGTCATCATTATTGATGCAATGTGAGTGATATCTGTTAAACAATTATGAATAACTGGATTCTTTGTTTTAGAATGGTCATGGCAAACAACATTTTTGGGACAGAAATTTCCTGAAGCTTTGCTCAATTATTTTTTTAGCTGTTTTTGAATTATGTATTTTGCCAATTTCTAATCCAAAATAGCTGCCAGCTTGAAGTAGGGATTAATGTTACAAGTTTGTGGTACCCCAATTTTTATTTGTCATTTATGTAATGGAACATTTTTCAAGAATTTGTATTGCTATTAAAATTTGCACATTGTTTACTACCCGTATCTATCTGCACTTAGGCCAGACTTTTATTATCCCTTGTTTCGTGAACCTGTCGAATGAACAGGAGCCGAAAATGAAATAAAAATATAATTGTATTTCAGCGTAATTTCTCGCGCCCGCCGACTTGTAAGCGCAAAAAATGCTAAAAAAATATTACTTTTATCTTCATTTTTTTACCGCTCGCCGCATAACAAACCCAAGTTGCATTTTCGTGGGAGTATTATGATCAAAGTACATGTACCGAAGTCTAGCGCAGATGAGAAACAAGGTTATACATGGAATAAAATTTTATTTCATTTCTTTTCTCTGATCAATGATCTCACTTACAATTCTTTGAGAATCACACAAATCTAATGGAAAACTTAATTTTATTGACTCCCATGTGCGAAGCACAAAAGGGAGTCTTTGCAGTTACCCTG